ATCTAATACAAAGTAACAAGCGTTAGAGAAGTATCTGTAGACTACAAGAACAATCACAATAAATGTCTAACTGTCTGTACAGAAGACGTTGTAGTGTCCTGATTTTTTTATTTTTTTTTTGTCCAGCAGAACAGTCACATGCATTAATCTACTACCATCACATGCACAAAAAACATGAATTAAATTTCTCCATACCTGTATATAAGCAAATAAAAAGTCCATCATAACGCATATTGTAAATTACATTCATCCATCCATAAATTTACACTTTGAACACCATACGTAATTTAGTCGTATTGTACAGATAAATCAATTATCTTCTGCAACACTTGCTTATCTTACCATTCGTTCTGCAGTCATGGCTCATCCTCACATAACCTTCACCAATATCACTTGAAAATAATAGTTTGTATCACAAAAATACGTTCCCGTTGATACACTGTATCTGATATAATTAGTTCATCAGTCAAAACTGAGTTTCCAAAGTAATAAGGATAATTATTTAAGAAGTTCGACAGCTGAGGTCACAAGTCACAAAACACCGGAAAGTAATATATATGTTTCATGATTCCGCTAATTCTCAGTTTCAAACAGTTGTACTGGAACAATAAATACTAAAACACCAAATTGTTTAAATAACGTTAAAACAAAATCTTTTATCTTCTAAGTAATAATATAACAGAGTATCATCTGGTGGTAGAAAGAGAAATAAAATGTTTTTAGTTTTTGTCACTCAGAATCTTAGATCAACAGCTTAGCCAAAATGTGACAATTAATATACGAAGCCGTAATTTATAATCATGCAGAAAGCTCTATGCACACGCTGACATGTTACCATGGAAACTCCCTATTTTGTCAAAAATGACGTCAAGAAGAGACAAAGGAAATTAAATGATAGACTATTTATCCTGCAACAACTATTCTTTGCTTCTGGTTTGTCAAACAAAATTTCTCTCAGAGGAAAAAGTATACAATTTTAGCTAGCTGTACAAACTGGCAGTTTTACAATCTTTTTCATATGAGTACCTTCAACAGACGAGTTTTGATAGAGATAACCTTTATATTCAGGTACACTTTACTCACAATGCACTTTGAAGTCTTGTCAAACTTCACATCTCAAACACTTATTACCAATAGGGTGAACAACTAATGTGAGTCAATGACTGAAACGTTGGAAGGTTTTGTAATCCGGCCATATAAAAGAATAGAAATAATTTTCACACAGTGCTATGAATTATCTTAGCAAGACAATAAAATAATAACACGATAGAATAAAACTGATAGGTAAACAATGTTGTTAGATATTATACATACATGGTTAAACACAGTAAACATATTATCAATAACTGAAACTACAGCTTAAGTGGTTTATAAGTACGAATAATGTGGCAATGATAAATATTATTCACATGGTTGTGAGAAGTTACTGAATTATGAGTGTTAAAAGATTTATTTATAGAATTAATCTTTCTTCAACACATAAGATAATAATTTAAGTTATGTACCATGAGATAAGCTACTGTCAGATGAGGTAAGGCCAGTTAGTTTGATAATAATGTGTGTTTGTTATTTAGCGCAAAGTTTCAAAATGACTATCTGTGTTGTGCTCACCACGGATATCAAAAACCCAATTTTCAGCGTTATAAACAGTAGCACAAATACCCGCCCTCCGGGCAGGTATAACTGCTGGTTCCTGCGGAAGGCTATTGGGCCTGCGGCCTTTTTTGAAATTGCCTGTACTCATACTTGACATTCAATAATGTTCACCATCCATGAGGAAAAAGATTGTATTGAAATTTTAGTTTAAAAAATGAGCTATCATTACAGCATTACATCACAGAGTATATTTTATTGAAGTATTTCTTTGTAGACGCAGTCATCAATGAAAGTGACTTGAATTTCTGTTGCAAC